TCCTTTTTCGCAAAGTTAGACAATTTGATGGGTCACAACCAATGCAACTTTCGCATTCTAAGAGCTCTACCTTGTATAAATCTGACTTCTCAATCACCCCTAGAGCCTGCCGGGAAATCATTGGGACGACAACTACTGGGGCAGATGGCTTGAGTCCGTGGGCGTGGCCGGCATTGACTGACAATGTCAAGTTGATTAAGTCCAATAGTGTACCAACAGCCGAACTCTGGATGTCAAACTCGCTGACCTCAAAACAACACATGATCAACGACTGTAGCCACTCGGGAAGATTTGACTCTAGAGAGCACAAAAAAGCATCGTTAGTAAATTACAAGTTATTGGCAAAGGTTCACACTCCTTAGTGTGAGTATGGCATGTGGGTTAGGTAAAGAATTGTAATATCATCGTAATATACGATAAAAAAAGATAAAAAGATAAAAAGAAAAAGGGTGTTGAAATCGTCCAGCTAATATGCGTCACATTTATTTTAATCCCCAGTGAGTCGCTATTCTCAGACGAAATCGACCTCTGTGGCATTCGCTAGGGAAGGTATTTGGGAATGTCCCCGTTCCCCAATCCTACCTGCCCCCTCCCCCCCCCTCAAAAAAACAAAACAAAACAAAAACAAAAAACCTGCATCTTCAAGTGACGAGTTATAATCTGTATTTATCCTCGTCCACTTTGGCCAGCCTTATTCCTTTTCCTCAGTCACACGGTCATTCGCATGTTATTCCGATTTTGGTGTGTTTCTAGATCACCAAACTAGCGTTCTGTGGTCCTAGTCACAGAAAACGGTTACAAGTATCCAGATGAATAAAGGCTGATAGTTTCTAAAGAAACTGTTAGGGGCTGCGTCGGTGGGGGTAGCGAAATAATTTGGATATATCAACAAAGTTGAAATGGTAAATTGGCCACCGTAACGATTACAAAAGCTGACGTTTCGAGCGTTTGCCCTTCGTCGGAGCGAATGAAGGGCTAACGCTCCGACGAAGGGCTAACGCTCGAAACGTCAGCTTTAGTAATCGTTACGGTGGCCAATTTACCATTTCAACTTTGTTGATATATCCAAATTATACAAGTATCCAGACCCAGGTACAGGCTGTTTTCAAATTTGAATCCATTTCAACACAAACCTTCATTGCCATCAGTCGCTGATTTCTCTGATGAGGAGTCCTTGCCAGCCCATACTGGAAAACAAGACAGCTCCAACAACACTTTACAAGCTGCTGCAAACGCCTCCGCGCAACTCTTGAAAGACTGTACCGATCTGAAGGTGGAAACCAGCGAAGTCGGAGCGGTGATGCTTCTTCTTCCCTTGGGGGTCGTTTGTGGTTTACAAGTGTCTCGTACAAATTTATCCCCCACACTAGTTTCTCCTTCTTCCATTTGTTTCCACATGGCGTCACTAACAATCCCACTGGCTCGTAAAGCTGTGTAGCATTCTTTGTTCATAACACCTCCAGCAGTTTCGTCGCTCGTGCAGAATGAGCTGACATGTTTCAGCACCCGCTGCACACAAAACTTGGCGTAGAAATTCTGAAAATATTTCACGCAGGCTTGAATAAGAGAGGGTTGAAATACGCGCTTTGGGTCTTTGGAAAGCTTTCTTTCCTCGGATCTGTCAACTGGCTTTTGTTCTCTGCTTGAATCTTCCTCGTTGCTTTCCGGATTCGTGGCATTTAACTCACTTGAAGACTCGCCTTCTTGAAAGTCGCTCCATTCGTCCAGTTCGTCTTGTGTATCAGCGTCTTCAACATTTGCCAAATCAGCTTCACCATCATATTGCTCTGCCATGGCCACCATTTCTTTCTCACCCGCTGCGACAAGCGATTCGATTTTGTTACCTTCTTCTTCAAAGACCTCGCTTTCGGTTGTTTCTTTAACGACCCCATCTGGAGAACCTTCCAACGACGTCTCTGAAGGCATGTCGCTGCGGCTAGGTTTTTCTTCTGTTCGTTTTAACTCTATAATACCCCACTCGTTCAGATCATGTTCAGACGAGCTTTGCAACTCCCTTTTCCGATTTTTACTGTCCACAGCGGATAACTCAGACTCAGTCCTATCTTTTTCAACGGTCTTCATAGAGGGCATCACCTTGGAAAGAAGTCTGGAGCACAGTGATATTCCTTCTTTGACATCTCCCAGTGCCATGGTGTTACAGCGTTTGGTCATTTCCATCGTTATCCTGCGCAAAAGTTCTGGCCAGTGCTCCGTTTGGATCTCCACATCTGCTTCCTGGATCAAAAACACACACAAAAAAGTGAAAGAATACATTAATTGCGAGAGACCCCAGGTGAATTCGTTTCCGTATCAGTGTTATGTTTAACAGTCAGACGTTCCTCAAAGTTCCCAAGCAACAGAGAAGTAGGCGGTGATTCATAATATCCCCTTGGATCGAATGTGACAACCGTCTTGTATCAGCAAAGTCAAGAACATCTCATAACGAAATCGCAAATTTTTTTATTTATAATTCATGCGATTTCGTTTGAAGCGATTACTCCTTCCGAATCAATGTTCACTGCGTCACCGGCGAAAAGTACTTAAGTCAATAACGTTCAAAAAAAGGAAAAAATCTACCATAGTTGCCATAATTATTGAAACATATCCCCCTTCCCCCCTCGTCAGTGTTGGCAACGAGAAAATAGGAACACGTGGGAAAACTCGATAGTAAGAGGGGAACGAGGTGTCTCGACAAAACTTTACGAAAGATGCAGTACGGAAAGGCTACAACTTCTAACTTTGGCCCCCCTCCCC